GGAAAGTTGGGCATGCGAAAGTATTAATAACTTTGAAATTCAGAGAACCAGAAGTTTATATGAATATATACATACAATTATTTTATAATAAAACAGTTGCACATGCGAAAGAATTAATAACGTTGAATTTCTGTGAACTAAACATTTATGTAAATATATATGAAAATATTACATACGCGGTATCTCTTAACAAATAAAGAAATATGGGTCTGGTTTAGAATAATTTTGCTTTTCTTAATATCCATATTTAATTAAAAAAAATAAAGTCAATACTTACTAAGAATAACATGAATCATTACTCAAAATTCCTACTACAGCATAAAGCAAAGAATTACTTTTTTAAAGTAGATGGGTGATCTCAAAGTTACATTTGCACGTGTAACTCTTAGAGCTCTTTAAAGAACTTTGAGTATTAGATGTGTTAGTTGAACATTTGTTTCTTATTTAGGAACAGTATCAAACTCCTTAGTTACATTTTAGTACCCAAAGAAACAGATTTAGTACATTTACCGATAGGATTACATTTTCTGTAGCAAACAATGCAAGCGTTGATCAATACAAAAGTTCTTTGATTCCAAAGTTCATTAACTTTGTTTCTCCAGAAACAAGCAGTTTCGCCTATTCAATTAACAGTGTTACATGTAGAGAAATTCGAGTTGAATTAAATGAGAATGTGCAAAATTAGATTATCAGTTCGTATCAGATTTAAATCAATTAAAAATTTTAAGCTCTCTTTGACAATTATTTTCAAACTGACGAACTATTTCTGTCGTCAGAATTAAACTGATTGAATTCTTTGCTATTGGAAAATGCACTTTTCTATAAAAATATTATTTTTACAGCTCAGTTATTCATACTTTGAAATGTAAATTGTGAATAATATTGCTTGTTTTCTACATCCTGATACTTAGCATGCGTATTCGTCTCCAGTTTTAAAGTTGAATTGATTCGAAATTTGTATGCGCCATAACTAATAGTTTATATCTGTTTCGTGTGATATATTTTATTTTCTCGCATGAAGAAAATATATATTTCATATAATATAAGAAAAATATTTTTTAAGATATTTTTAGAAACACATAGAATTCTAGTGGGAGTACATAATATCCTAATGTGAAAGAATCCACATACATTTTAGGGAATTGTATTTTCGGCCAGCGTGTGCATGACAATCTCTAAATGAAGGTATTTAAGGACAATGAATTTAGAGAGAACCCAAAAATAGCACAATCGTATTTTTTACATGTATATCTTTTGCATATGTTTATACATATATGTGGAATTGTTTTTATTCCTTTTTTTTCTCGACGATTCGGAAAGGAAAATTGCACAGCGAAAAATATTTCAGAATTGTGCACCTATGTAATATAAAATTATGATATAGTAGTAGTAGACATTTGCACGCATAAAATAGTTACAAATCAAATTTAACAAAATGATTTATAATGAATTTCAAAACCCACTTTTTTTTATTTATTTTGTCAAATTTATAACATTATTACCTACAAACTTATAGGTCGATGCAAGTGACATGATATAGTAAAATCTTTTCCATTTTTTCAAATCAAATATGTAATAATTATTTTGCTCCTTTTTTGAAAATGAAATTTTAAAACTCTTGTCATATTATACGTAATTTGTTTGGACAGATAATATAATTAATATTTTGACATTTTGAGTCAGAAGTTCCCATTTAAAAAAAAATTATTTATTTAGTTTTTCATTTTTAAATATTTCGGAAATACATTTCGGAGACATGGCATGTTCCATTTTTCAGGAGCGTTGATATATTAAAATTAAAAATGTTTTAAAATAAATACACACTAAAATTGAAATACACATTTACTAAAAATTATAATTTATGATAAAGTAACTTTGTTCAGAAAAATAAACTAAGAACTTACAGGTAAAAGTCCCTTAGTGGCGGACACATAAGGTTATTTATAAATAAATCAAAACATATTTTACAAAATGTTTATTAAATTTTGATTTATGTTAAGTAACAAAGTTAGAAATCAAAATAAATTAACAATACCGCAATCTATGCTAAAAAAATAATTGATACTATCAATCAAACTTTGGTATCAAAAAATACGATTTTAAACAGTGGCACCTAGTACCGGACATTTCAAAATAACCTGCATTAATCACATATGCATCCATCTCTACACTTTGGAATGTTTTTACATGTATCTCTGACGAATATACTTAGATGTTGCAAAAAAATCACTATTTATCCACCCTTTTGGCTGGGCCACACCGATGCTCTCACCTGGAGCATTCATCACAAGATTATCATTCTTTGACTAGGAAATACGAAGCATAGGGGTATGTAGTGACCGTTAGCACTCAGAATAAAATTTAATGATTGGAATAAATTACAAAAATTCTCACAAGAAACATCAATATGTTTACTGTCCGGCACTAAGGGACAGACATTTTCGTTTATTTGGTGGCACCTACTAAAATTGGTTAAAAGATCTAATAATATTCTACCATTTTACGGATAACAATCAAGTACAGTCTCTATCTTTGCATACCACTTAAATGTAAATGCATAAATATGCTAAAATTACTTCCATTGATATTTAGGTGACGCCGTGATTTTGCGCCTGAAACAGGAAAGGCTTGGCATTCTTAATGGCCAAATTTGGAACTCATATTGTAGGCGTGGGTACCGGACAACGTCTGCCGGGTCATCTAGTAAAAATATAAATTTATATATATACACACACACATATATATATATATATATATATATATATATATATATGTGTGTGTGTGTGTATGTCATTTATACCATAAAATAAGGAAACTGGCTAGCGATTTATTGGATTCTTGCTCCAAAATTCAAATGTTGAGATGCGGGTTTTTCTTCCTATAGGTATATATATATATATATATATATATATATCTATATGAGTGTTTATATAACGTTTTTATACCTTAGGCTTTTGATATATATTATTCTTCACTTTTTGTTCCTTTGCTCTTTGAACTTACCATCCCCTAGAGATACATTAAAGTATTTATATCCAGACAATATATGTATATATATATATATGAAAAAGTATGTATGCGTACAAAGGTGTGCGTTAGTGTGTACTTGCCATTTCATTCATCATTCCATGTTTTGATTGAGGTGTCCATATCTTACCCTTCTCAATATTTGCATGTCATGTATATTTATATCGAATTTATATAGAGAATATTGTTATTTCATTATAATGGAGTCGAGGACGGACGTGATTCCTTTGCATAATATTGTCTAATTATTCCTGTCTTAACACTATGATCTACAATGCCAAGAAACTTAAGTCTGTTTGAAATTAGCATTTGTGACAAACGAGTATACATAAGTTGATTAACGAGAATTCAACTATTAATTATATGATATAAACGCCTTGATAATAGGTTGCGTAATATTATCTGTATGTCAAGCGGGGGAGAAATTGATTAGGTCATAAATCTAAATATTAAACAGTGATAGGTACTATTTTTCATCTTATAAAATGTTGTGAATAGTCACGTGCAGATCGCCAATTTCGAAATTTTATTTACTAATAATAAATATATTATTATTTTATATATTCTAATTATGACAAAAATTAAAAGTGCCTCGGATGAATTATTATAAAAAAATAACCGCTAACACTTAGTGCTTTATTCCAATTTTTAATGTTTGAAATTCAACATTATGATCTAAATATAGCAACTCATATTTGGTGGAACCATGTGTAAGCTGATATCCTATTTTCAAGGTAGTTAATTTTTATGTGAGTAATTTTTTTTTTCTTTGTTAACTTTTGTTCAATAATTATTAAAATACACTTTATTTTAACGGATTAACATTGGTATGGAACCCATAGGAATGTAAACAAAATTTATACTTATTGTTAAAATCTCTATAAAATATCTGATAATTTGGTGTGCATTTGTCTAATGATCATTTTTGACTGCCAAATGGGACTTTTTTTTACTTTTTTCATTAGATCTCAAAAACCGCTAGACCTACCTTCATGAAAATTTTTGGCACTTTTTGCCCCGTATCTTCGGAACGGCTAGACCTGCCTTTGCCAAAAACTAATTAGCACGTCTCCTTATGAATACGAATCGAATGTTTTTTGAATTATTCAAATCGGTTGATCGGTGTTCCCGAAATCGTCGACAAAAATTTGTATCCGCACACACACACACACATACACACATACATACATCATTTTTTTCTAAGGTATGCCAAAATATTCAGAAACCTTTGAAACGTAAAGATATATAAAAATTTTCATTTTCAATTTTTTGCGATTACTCTAACTTGCCCTACGGGAAGGAAATAGAGATCTTTTAAAAATCTTTACTTCGATTATTTTTAATTAAAAAATTTGCATGAAATTCTAAAAAATTATTATCGATTATAAATATGTTTTTTATTTTCTTATAAATTACAATCTGTCTATATAAAATGACATTGAGTAATTAATTTTACAAATAATATTTACAAATAAGGGAAAACCCAGTGGTTCACCTTTTATTATTGTATTAAATTATGTATTAATTAAATTTTGATATTATAAATGTAATATGAAGATGTTTAAGATAAGAAAAATATATTGTTATCAAAATCCCTTTCTCTCAAAATCAATGCCAAATCTTATTGCTATATTTAGATCATAATGTTGAATTTCAAACATTTTAAAGTTTAAAATCTCAGAATTTATACAAAACTATTATCTTATGTTCTAGTAATCGTTTTTATATATTGATATTAATAATATATGTATTACTTATAGTATCAAACAGTAATCAAAATTATTACTTAATACTTAAAATTGCAATTTTTAGTGAGATATTCTGGTTATATGTTCAATTTGGTATTGCATCAGTGCTATAATATGCTTTTGTTTATTTGTTATAATATTTCAAATTTTTGAATAATATTTTCAAACTTGCTCATTATATTCTTTATTAATTATAGTTTCTAAATAAGTTTTTTTAATTTTCAGGCTTTGTCTGATTTGCTTCTCGGAGTATTCTGCATGCCGTTCACCTTGGTCGGCCAACTTTTACGAAATTTCATATTTGGTGGAACCATGTGTAAGCTGATACCCTATTTTCAAGGTATAACATTTTTATGTAAACTAGTGGGGCGCATGGCATTGTGCCTTAAGGCAAATTGCTGGAACTTCCCGTACCAAAAATTATTTTTTTTTGAAAAGATTAACATTTTTGGAAAAAATTTACTCTGAAAAAATAGATTTTTGAGAAACTATAAATTTTAGACAAAAACTTACTTTTTGTTGAAAAATTTATTTTGAAATATTTTGGAAATTCTGAACTTTTTTTCAAAGCAATCGTACTGCTTTAAATGCATTGAGACTAAATATCGAAGCGCGTAAGCGCCGCGTCGTCGTCTAACGGATAAACACTGGTACGGAACCCATAGAAATGTTAACAAAACTTATACTTATTGTTAAAATCTATATAAAATATCTGATAACTTGATATGCATATGTCTACTGATTATTGTTGACCGCCAAATGTTATTTTTTCTTATTTTTTTTTACTAGATCTCCGAAACCACTAAATCTATCTTCATGAAAATTTGATCAAATCTTCATCTTGTTACTACAAGTTAAATGTTTTTTGAATTATACAAATCGGACGCTCCGTTCTCTTAAAAACTGAGTTACCGTTTTTGGCCCTTTTTGCCCCATATTTTCGGAACGGCTAGACCTGCCTTTGACAAAAACTAATCAGCACGTCTCCTTATCAATACGAATCGAATGTTTTTTTAATTATTCAAATTGCTTCATCCGTGTTCCCGAAATCGTCGACGAAAATTTGTATCCGAACACACACACATGCACGCACACACACACATACATGAATTTTCTCTAAGGTTTGCCAACATATTCAGAAACCTTTGAAACGTAAAGATATATAAAAATTTTCATTTTCGATTTTTTTGCGATTACTATGACTTACCCTACGGAAAGTTAATTACAAATAAATCAATTTATCATCTCCAGAACATTAACATTCGTCATTTCATTTCGAATCAAATTTCATAATTGCCAATTTTACACGAAATTGAAAAAGTTGCCAAATTTACACGAAATTGAAAAAGTGCTCCCGCATAGTCACAGTCTAAACACATTTGCAAATAATTCTGTGCGACATTTTCACTTATACTGTGCTTAGCTTGGCGGCATTTTCACATTTTTCAATAATTTTCACAAAATTGAAAAAGTGCTCTACATGAACAGTCTAAACGCACTTGGGTGAACATTTGTACCAGAGTGGCGCTTAGACTGTGCTTAGCCTGGGTGATTTTTTGAATTTTTAATCCAAAATTACAAAAAAAATTTTTTAAAAAAAAAATTAGAAACAAAAATTTTTTTTCCAAAATCAATTATTTTGTTGAAACAAGCAGAAAGTTCTTTCAATCATTGAAATCGGACGCTTAGTTCTCTCAAAATCTGCCATTTTTTTTAACATTTAGCGCTGTATCTTCGAAACCGCTGGGCCTACCTTTGCTAAAAACTAATCAGCACATCTCCCTATCAATAGGAATCGAATGTTTTTTAAATCATTCAAATCGGTTGATCCGTTTTCTCAAAAACTCGTTTTCTATTTTCTGCACTCTTTGCTCCATATCTCTGTAACGGCTGGACCTGCCTTTGCCAAAAACTAATCAGCACATCTCCCCATCAATAGGAATCGAATGTTTTCTAAACCATTCAAATCGGTTGATCCGTGCGCCCCAAAAACGTGGACGAAAAAAAGCGGACATACAAAACACACACACACACACACACACACATCCATTTTTTCTGAGATATGCCAAAACGTTCAGAAACCTTCAAAACGTCGAGACGCAAAAATTTTCATTTTCGATTTTCGGCCCATTACTATAACTACCCTACGGGAAGTTAATAATATCTGTTTTTCTGTGTCAACTTTTGTTCAATAATTATTAGAAGACACTTTATTTACTAAATCACGCTAATTAATGACTACATTTTTTCAAGAGTTCGAATAATTTATTATAATTATGTAGAACTTTTTAATGAGGAGAAAAATATCATGTTTTATGCATGCATATGCTGATACTCAGTTTTATATAATTCGTAGGTTAATTAAATACAAAGTTAGTCATGCCAATATGTAACATAGCATCCTTTATATAAAATAAAATAATAGTATCTAGTAGAAGTTTTGTACTCGTAAAAAGCCATTCCAATTGATCAAAAATTAATATTTGGAACAGAATAAAGATTTGTACTAATATTAACTTCTCGTAGGGTAAGTTATAGTAATCGCCAAACAATCGAAAATGATTTTTTTTTATATATCTTTACGTTCCAGAGGTTTCTGAACATTTTGGCATACCCTAGAAAAAATGGATGTATGTATGCGTGTTTGTGTATGTGTGTGTGTGTGTGTGCGGATACAAATTTTCGTCGACGATTTCGGGAATACGGTTCAATCTATTTAAATCATTCAAAAAACATTCGATTTCTATTGATAAGGAGATTAGTTTTTGGCATAAGCAGGTCTAGCCGTTTCGAAGATACGGGGTAAAAAGTACCAAACGTTAACTCAGATTTTAAGAAAACGAAACGTACGATTTGAATAATTTAAAAAAAAAATTGAGAAGATGAAGAATTGATCAAATTTTCATGAAGGGGCAGGTCTAGCGGTTTTAGAAATCTTATGAAAAAAATAAAAAAATTGCCATTTGGCGGTCAAAAATGATCATTAGACATATGCACATCAAATTATCATATATTTTATAGAGATTTTAACTATAAGTATTGATTTTGTTTACATTTCTATGTAAACAAAACTAATTAGCACGTCTCCTTATGAATACGAATCGAATGTTTTTTGAATTATTCAAATCGGTTGATCGGTGTTCTCGAATTCGTCGACAAAAATTTGTATCCGCACACACACACACACATAAACACACATACATCAATTTTTTCTAAGGTATGCCAAAATATTCAGAAACCTTTGAAACGTAAAGATATATAAAAATTTTCATTTTCAATTTTTTGCAATTATTCTAACTTGCCCTACGGGAAGGAAATAAAGATCTTCTAAAAATCTTTACATCAATTATTTTTAATTAAAAAAATTGCATAAAATTCTAAAAAAGTATTATCGATTATAAATATATGTTTTTTATTTTCTTATAAATTACAATCTGTCTATATAAAATGACATTAAGTAATTAATTTGACAAATAACATAGAATTTCAAAAGAAAAACCCAGTGGTTCACCTTTTATTAATGTATTAATTAATGTATGTATTAATTAAATTTTGATATTATAAATGTAACATGAAGATGTTTAAGATAAGAAAAATGTATTGCTATCAAAACCAATGCCAAATCTTATTGCTATAAAATCTCAGTAAAAAAGTTTAAAATCTCAGAATTTATACAAAACTATTATCTCATGTTCTAGTAATCGTTTTTATATATTGATATTGATAATATCAAGGGTTCCGTATCAATGTTTATCCGTTAGACCGCTACGCGGCGCTTACGCGCTTCGATATTTTGTAAAAAGTTCAGAATTTCCAAAATATTTCAAATTAAATTTTTCTTTAAAAAGTCTTTTATTTTCAAAATAAGTAGGGTTTTGTCAAAAATTTATAGTTTTTCAAAATTCTAATTTTTTCGATGTACATTTTTTTCAAAAATGTTAATCTTAAAAAAAAATAGTACGGAGAGTTCCAGCAATTTGCCTTAAGGCACAATGTCATGCGCCCAACAATTTTTTTTTCAAATCTCTTATTGCATTATGTGGAATATGATATAATATATTGTATTATATAACATATAATTACGTTCATCGTTTTCTAACATAAGGATATTTTACATTTCCATCATTTGTTTCTATTTCTATGAATAAATATAATTAAAATAACAAGATGTATTTGTAAAAAAAACTAAATCTCTGTGTTTTAAATTCAATCATAATGAAGCATATTATATTTATATATAGAATTGAAGCACGCTCGGTATGGAATAACTAACTCTGAATCAGATCAGATTTGAAATATGATAATGTTACAGCAAAACTTTCAGGAATTTAATTTTTTGAACACTGTTTTGCCACAGATTAAAAAAGTAAAAATATTTAAAATTGAATCTGCTTTTCATTAAAATGCATAAACTATTGTTTAGTTTTGCTTATTTTAAGTTACTTGTTTATTCATTTCTCACACAAAAGTACAAACAAAAATTAATTCTTTAAAAATTTAACATAAACATGTTTTTTGTAAGTAATTTAAACAAAAAATAATTTTTACTCATTTGTCGTATCATGTCATATCATAATCATATTTTCATAGTTAACAAACAGATTATACTACAATTAAATATTCAATATTGAAATTTAACGAATTGTGATATAATGTGATATTTGAATATCACATTATATTACAATTAACTATTGTACACGTTTTCTCAGTTAATTAGTACAACTTTCAGTTAGCTGGCGATATTAAATTTTATCCTTTCTCTTATATGAATTATAAGCATTTTATTAACTAGATCTTTTAGTTAGCAAACTGTATTTGAGTAATTTATTTAATTTGACCATGTTAAATTCAACGGTACGTAATTTTACTCGTATTTGTTCGCATATATTTGAAATTAATATTTTCAAAAGCTAACTAAGCTTAAATTAAATTTTTATTTAAATTATTACTTTGAGTATTTGATTCGCAAATTGATTACATTCATGTATTCTTTTTTAAATCTTTTTCAGAACTGATTCAGCAATGAATTGTATGTGGAAAAGTCCAACAATACGCTAGCTCAGTAATGTTTAATTAATCAATTACTCGGGAAACTAATATTTTCCCTTCATTATTGTCTATGCAAATTATACATATGTCAATTATCCTAAATAATTCAGATGCAGTTGCAACTTTGTGAAATCAGATTAACATTCTCCATTATCTAAGCGGATTTGCACCTGTAAACTTCCAAACTTTGCAAATTGATGTCACCTAATTGTTTAACTGTATATTGGAATATACTGAATTAATAGTAGTACGGAAATAATAGCATTGAAATACAGGTTTAACAATTAATTA